TCACCAAAGAATATAAGATAATATGGACTTAGAAGATATTGAGACAATTTTTTGATTAGTAAGTCAATACTTTGTTGGCTCTCTTTTTGCCATTAAAATCACTTCTATTTAATGATATTAATATATGATTAAAAATGACCTTTTAACCAATTTCTTTCTAATCCACTTCTATCTTTTCTAAAAATTCCATTATTTAAGATGGCTGTGTTGATCAAGTATTCAAACAATGTTTAAAATGCTCTAAAAGTATTTTATTAGTGTGAATTTTAGAAATTATGCAATCTATTGTATCACTTGTAAGCCAAGTTCTTCAAAGTACTCTTTTATCTTTTAAGAAGTATGCTTTAAATCATTGTCTTGCTAAAAAATCACATCATTGACACCCAAGTTGTAATAATCTAAGGTTCCTATAAGCTCATTGTTGAAAATCTTGTAGTACAAATCTACATCTATAATAATTGTAAAGCTACATTTTCTTTGTCTTATGCAACAACTAGCACGATAATGATGAGATAGTCTAAATAAGTACAACATAATTTTTAAACCAACAAAGATGTATGCATGTATAGATAAAAGGATGTAGTTATATCCTACAAACTTTAAAAAATAAACAAAGTGCAATAATAAATAAAGTGGTACAACAATGAATAACAATAGAGGTTGCAATAGTATTTGCAATGAGTAACAAATAAGGAATTGAAAAATTATCTCAAAGAGCAGCATGTGCATATTTAAAGAACTAGTTACATACAAATTTAGTTGTTAATATTTCAAAAATGAGTTTAAAACATTAAAAAGTTATAAAATATGTTTCTATCAATGATAAAATAAAAATAAAAATAAAAAATAATTATGCCAATAAATATTATTTAAATAATATTATCAAGATATAGATATTCTTTACAACATTAAATGAATATAGGACTAAAAAGCATCTTTATCTAACACCCCTTTTAATTAGAAATAATTTTGTATAAAATCCGTTAATTCTAATTGTTTTATTTTCACCTAAAAAAATATTTTTTAATAAATATATGAAATAGGCATGAAATTTTGATTTTTCTAAAGCTTGAAAAAAAAATTATAAAAAATTTATTACAACTATTAAAAAATATATTTAAAAAATAGATAGAAATTTTTTTAAGTCTCTTTTATGTAATTTTTTTATATATGTTAGAATATAAAAAATTTAAATTTAAAATATATTTTATTTAAATATCTTATTAATTTTTATAATTTTATAATAAGATATATGGGATTATTAATTTTAATTACATTAAAAATTCTTTGG